GGGACATGATATCCCTCTATAAGTATCTCAAGGGCTGACACAAAGAGGAAGGTCAGGATCTTTTCTTGCTGATACCAGGGTGCCAGACAGTTGTGACAATCCAAAATCAGGCTAGATATCAGGAAAAGCTTCCTCCCTCACTATCAGAGCAATATGACAGTGGAACCAGCTGCCTAGGGAGGTGGTGGGCTCTCCCACACTAGAGGCATCCAAAAAGAAACTGGGCAGCCATGCCCCTTCCAGCTCTATCATTCTATGATCCTATGATTCTACCCAAGGAACATATCTGAGTGTATATCAAAAGGAGTAGAAAATCAAAATGAGTACAGGTTTCCTGAGGTTTCTCTGTTTTGTGGCATATATTTATATAATTTAAATGGACTGCTCATCTGATGCTTTACAAAGAATGGAACTTAAACTCAGCATATTAACTATTATTTTTTGCATAATTGCTAGCTATGATTTGGGAATAATACCTTTACTTCAGATCCTTGTTAGCACTGCTGCCCAACACATTTTCTTATGTGTTACCCACAGGATACATGAGTCTAAGCCCCATCTGTACTTTCTTCCACAGTTTCTATTGTCTTAGAGTATTCAACTCTGAAGTGTTTTCCAGTTTTAGTTCACTTCCCAAAATATCTCATGGCCGTTTTTCTCATTTTTGACATACGCAGAAGATATGATGAATGTAACACATAAGAAGTCATTCTTCCTTTAGAGCACTCGTATCTGAAGCATATGTTGCTTTTGTTGACTATTAAGTGGGAAAGGGATCCACTCATGGTCCATATTAGTTTAAGAATAACTAGTTCAGATATCAGTGAAACATTCAGTGAAGGCCACAATCTGTCAGGATAAATTAATGTGCTATAAATAAATGGGTCTAATCTTTGTGTTAGCATTCAAACCAGACTACCCAAGAGATTAAACTGTGGTGAGTTGTTCTGATCAAGTGAAGTAGGTCTACTTCTTAATATTATACATGCTTTTTAATATTTATGGAACTTGTGGCTTATCAGAAGAATCTAAATATTTACAAGGTATTTGTGCAGCTTGATGCAGGATCTTTGCAAGATGCATAGATTAATGGGCATCTACATTAAATGCATTTAATTAAATACAAGCATCTCATTGGTCACCTGATTAAATCTGCTGTCCCCAATTCTTTCTGAGGACAGATGTGGGAGGTCAGAAATGCTCAATAAATATATGATAGAGCAGTCATGTTACTTCCACTGTGCAGTGAGATGGACAGAAAAATGAGAGTGCTGAACTTGTACTGAGCTGAGAGTTCCCCCCTGAACATAATGCCCCGACAGGCCAAACCAGATGCAACAGAAGCTGTTTGTTTGTTGAAGAAGTGGAAAAGGACCATGTGTGCTGCCCCTGATCCTGACTAACATGTCCAGCAGCTGTTCTGAATCATTCATGCACAACCATGTTGTTTAGGCTGTGCAAATGGGTACCCAACAGAAGGAAAGACTTAAGGTGCACAGGCTCTGCTCAGATCTTCAAGTAAATGTATGGAGGGAGTTCAAGGAGTGCAGCAAGAATAATCTGACTCTCCCCTTCATACATTCAGTGAGGGAGGGATTCTTGAAACATGGTGGGATGACTCACATGACTGGAATTCTACTATTGATGGATACAACCTGCTCAAGAAAAATACAAAGGACAAAAAGGAAGGTGGAGTTGTACTATATGTGACAGAGACATTTATTCATTTATTTAAAGTTTTTATATGCCATCCAATACCAGAATCTCTGGACAGCTTACAAAAAAACAAAAAACAACAAGGTACCAAGAAACAACACACTGCATCTGACCATTGATAAACTCAAAGATAAAACCAATTGAATGTTAAAATGTTGGGAAAATTAAAAGGATTTCACCTGATGCCAAAAAGAATAAAGTGATTGCGCCAGATGAACCTCCCTGGGAGAATGTTCCAAAGTCAGGGTGCCACCACCAAAAAGGCCCTTCTCCAGGTAGCTACCCTCCTAATTTCCTTCAAAGAGGGCTCCTGGAGAAGGACCTCTGCCTCAGATGTCAAGGGGGTGGGCAGACACATAGAGAAGAAGGTGCTCCTTCAGGTATCCAGGACCCAAGCCATTTAGGGCTTTATAGGTCATTACCAGCACCTTAAATTGGGCCCAGACTTCAATTGGCAGCCAGTGTAGATGCTATAGGACTGCCGTGATATGGGAGTATCTGCCAATCCACATTAATAACCTGGCAGCTTTATTCCAGACCAACTGAAATATCCAGACTGTCTTTAAGGGCAGCTCCACATAGAGCGCATTCCAACAGTCCAAATGGGAAGTTACCAGAGAATGGGTCACCATTGCCAGGCACTGCTCATCCAGGTAAAGGCACAGCTGACGTATCAGCTGAAGCTGAACGAAAGAGCTCCTTTCCATTGCCAACACCTGGTACTCCAGGAACAGGTCAGGGTTGAGGAGCACTCCCAGGCTACATAGCCTGTCCTTTCCAGGAAGTGCAACCCCATCCAGAACAGGGCAAAAATCACTTGCCTGGAAGGCCAAATCACCTACCAACAGGACCTCTGTCTTGTCTGGGTTAAGCCTAAATTTGACCCAATACCCCAGTCAGACACCAATTAAGGTCCAACAGTGCCTCATCTGGACGAGATGTAAAAGGGAGATAAAGCTGGGTGTCATCACATGATGACTCTGCAGCCAAAACCTTGGATGACCCCTCCCAGTGGTTTCTTGTAGAAGTTAAAGTGCATGGGGGATAAAATGGAACCCTGTGTAATGCCATATATCTGCACAGAAATACAAGAAGAGGAACTTAGTAGTTCCATTGAAAGCATCTGGCTTAATTTAAAGGGAGCAAAAAATAAGAGAAACACAGTTATTGGTGTCTATTACCACCCACCCAGTCAAAACGAGGACAAGGATGAAACCTTTGAAAAGCAACTTGCTAGCATTTCCAAGAAGAATGAGGAAGTCATCATGGGGGACTTCTCTAACATATGCTGGGAGACAATTTCTGCCCAACATGGCCCCTTCAAGAGATTCCTGCCATGTGTTGCCAACAACTTCCTCCAGGCAGAAGGTAGAGGAAGGAACAAGAGCATCAGCTATCCTCAATTTAATGCTAACAGGGATGGCCTGGTGGGCAAAATAACAACCATGGAAACTCTGGGGGAAAGAGATCATGCAGTACCTGAATTCTTAATTATACAGGAGACAAAGGTTAGCTGCTGCCAAATGTGTATTCTGGACTTCAAAAAAGCCAACTTTGGCAAACTCAGAAGTGTGTTAAGCAAATACCAAAGCAACTCACTCTTAAGGGAAAAGGAGTCCAAGAAAGGTGGAATATCTTGAAATAGAAGATTCTCCAAGCACAACTACAAAGTATTCGTAATCAGATAAGGCATATACTGAATATTATACTACAGCCAGATTATATGGGGTAAATTAGAATATCAAGATATAGAGGGATCCTTATTAAATATTTATTCTTCAACAAAATAAACATGTTATTAAAAAATAGGAAACCTTTTCTTAAGAATATGGTCAGAATTTGGAATAAATATAGGGGTATATTTATCCGATTGATTTGGCTGTTATATCCAATTACAGAACTAGAAAGATTCCCAGTGAGTCTGAGGAGAACTGAAGAGTAAACATGTTATTAGGTTGAAAGATTGGTTAGAGAAAATGAAGAGTAAAAAAATAGAAACGTAGAAACTGAATTAGTCAGAAGGGGTCTCCCAGGCCATCTAGTCTGACCCACGTCTCCAGCTGGCTCCACTCATGACACACCTACCATGTGCATATCTAGCTTATCCATGAACACCATCACTGATGGGACTTCAACCACCTCCCATGGAAGCCTATTCCATACCCTAGAGGTCCTAACTGTCGGGAAGTACTTCCTGGCATCCAAATTGAAACTTGATTCCTTGAGCTTTGCTCCGTTGGAACGTGTCCTGCCTTCTACTGCAGGGGAGAACAGGTCTCTACCCACCTCCATGTGACAAAATTGACTGCGAAATCAAACAGAAAGAGTGCTCATCAATGGCACCTTCAAAAACTGGAGGAAGATAACTAGTGCGGTGCCAGAGGGTCAGTCCTGAGCCCAGTGCTCTTCAACACCTTTATTAATGATTTAGATGAGGAAGTACAAGGAAAGATATTCATATTTGCAGATGATGCTAAACTGGGTGGCATAGCAAACAAATACCCTAGAAGACAGAATGAAGATTCAGGGCAACATTGATAAACAGAAAGCAACAGAATGAGAATTCAATAGAATGAGATTCAAGAGGGACAAGTGCCATGTCCTCCACTTAGGAAAAAGAAAACCAATGTATCAATACAAGATGGGGAATATGTGGCTGAACAGAACTGAACAAGAAAAAAGACATCAGAGTTATTGTAGACAGCAAGGCTAAATACTCCAAGAACTTTTCTTGTTTAGAACCAGAATGACTACTGCAAATAGAGTCCAACAGATATTTCAATTGTACCCTCATTCCTAATGGAGAACCCGCACCTCTTGACTGCATATTTTGTTTAGGGGAAAAAAAATACATAGCACATAACCAAAAGTTTTTGAAATGCATTACAAGTGAAAGCAATTGCTTCCTCCTGCACTCAGGAGATTTAGAAGTGTTTCCATGGAAATACTGAAGTTCTTGTGAACATCTACAAACGGCTGAAAAAGCCTACCAACTCAGCACATCCAGCAATCAAAATTTAAATTGGTGCATAGGAAGATAACTTTAACTCTGTGGATCTTGATGCCGTAATGTGTGGAAAATGAGGTACTGGCACCATGTATGTGTGTGGTTAAAAATGTCATATTATTAGAGAGGCAAGCATGTGTTATACATTCTTTTAAAAATTGGATGTGTGCAGTAAAGAATTGATTGATATTCTGATACCATACATCTTAACTGGTTGAACACACTGTTGCTTACTTGCATCACAGAAAAAAAATAAAGAACACAAGATCAAACTTGCCTTTCCAACATACTGTGGATCTGGTCCCATGTGTTCTTCTAAAACAAAGAACTGGTTCCACACCCATCCACGTTTTGGGCGATGATGCACTTCCGTTTCTCCTTCTATATGTTTTGTTTGGTTTCGTGTCACCTTGATGGAGCCATGATGCCCAGTTCCATAACACCTCTGCACAAAACAGAGACAAACTAGGACTGGACAGATGCAAGATGTGCTCGTAATTCTCATTGTAGGATCACTTTCCACTTCCAGATGCTCTCTTCCCCTTTCTTTGTGTTCCCTTCCCTACTGTATTCTTTTAATAGGCTTCCATGGGTGAAGGAAAGAGCTGGTTTTAAAATGCAGTCCAGAAATTTTGTTTTAGTCTGTCCATGGTTCAGCTGCCCATTGGTAAAAGGATATTTACATCATGAAAAGCAGTGTGAGGATGCCACTCACTTTGGCGATGCTCTCCACAGGCTGCTGGAGCTGACCATTTTATACCTAATGGGGAAGAAAAGAAAGAAAACAAATAATTACAAACAGGAATTTTAGATCGTTGGCCTCCAGGAATTAAGAAGTCACCCTGGCAAATATGTGTGTTTATTTATATGTCTTTAAATTAGCATCATATTTCAAAATCTGCATGTGTCAAGAGTGGAGTAGCTCAGGATACTGTGAGTGTGAACTGAAGCCTCAATACAGACAATTTATTGTATGTTTTATTTATAAAGATTCATGACCCAGTCAAATCCCTGAAGCCTTGACCTGCTGATACCATTTTCTTATCTCTTGCATACTTCAGAAAGCTGAACAAGAACTTGGTTTTAGAATCTTGGTCCCATGAATGCAGCTCATGTTGTACCATCTCAAGTGAGATTAGCCAGCCAGAGGAAAGTATAGCGAGACCCTACACTATTATTCTGGACATGGAGCATGTTCCCCATTAGGTGATTTTTAGGACTCTTCAGCAGGGAAAAGAAAAAGATAATGGCAGCATGTCAAATGTCCTTTAAATATAATATGTGGCACTAGAGAACAATGTGTGGTCTGAATGATATTGTCTTGTATACCTCTAAAGTGACGGCAACATGGATGGTGAAAGTTAGCACCTCACTCTCACTCACACAGATCTTCCCTGTTGCCAGGAGATGACTCCTTGGCAATTCAACCACTATGGTGAGCCACTGAGACTATAGTCCCAATAGCCGCTATGCTTATCACAGTCCAAATAGAGACAGTGTGAGGCCTCAGAACTCAAATTCTGAATGGCTTGTCTCTCTGCTTACATACTGGTAGGTACACGGCACATACAGAGTGTTGTTCCTTTCCCCTTGGTAATCTCATCTACTGACATCTGGAGTAAAGAAGCAGGGTTTGTGGCTTTGTGTCAGCAATGGCAGATCTGAATTGGAAATGCTACCAGTAGCAATGTGTGAGGAATCCAGCTTTGGGTGGTAATCGATCAGGTTTCCTTGGATCAGCTCCCAGGTCTCTGGTCTGCTCTCTCTGTGTCCTAAGTCTGCCTCATGCTGACCGTTCACATGGGCATCCGGCAGGAAGCACGTCCAAGCAAATCCGCAAGGCTGGCTCAAGCACATGCTGCCCGAGCACCCTCTGTGAGAGCCATGTTTGGCTCTGCATGCATGACTCGCAGCCTTTGCATACTTTGAGTAAAGAATTGTGTATTTTGCACAAAGAATTACATACTTTGCACAATGGCATGAGGTTGGAGGTCCTGAGAGTTGTGGAGTTGACTTTGGCTCACCTCACTTACTGGCCAGGGTTTAGCAGAGGAAAGAAGTCTAACAAACACAAGAGAGCTGTATTCTGGCCTGAGCTTTGCATGGCTAGCTATTACTGGCAGTCATCTCTATCACAAAAAGCAATATACTGGAGGAAAAAATGGTAATTACACAGATGGACACACATAGAATTGATAAAGAAAATCCAATCTAATATATTACTAGAAAACAAAAACACCACCACCACAACTTTATTGTATGTTTCTATCAATTTCATTAGATTCATTGTGACTTGGGGATGTTTTACAAAACATTGAAATAAGGAAAGATTGAAACCATTAACAACATATGATAATTATGGGGAGATGTGTTGGGCTGAGATATAGCAACATGATGAAACAGGTTATTTTGAATGATGAAAAAATCACTAATTATACTGCAGACTGAACATGCTATTCATCTGATCAGCTGTTCAGTTGTTGGATATGTTAGCATTTGCACATTTTTGGTGAAAAATGTGTATTTAACAAAGCTTAAACCTCAACATTAATATCATATATGTGTACCAAGCACAGTCCTTGTAAGGAAAAAAGAATGCTTGGTGGGGGAGAGGGGAGAATTTGGCTATTATTTGTTTATAGAAACATAGAAACTGAGTGAGTCAGAAGGGGTTCCCTGGCCCATCTAGTCTGACCCCCGGCTCCAGCTGGCTCTGCTCACAACATGCCTACCATGTGCATGTCCAGCCTATCCTTGAACACCCTCACTGATGGGGCCTCAACCACCTCCCGTGGAAGCCCATTCCATACCCTCAGGGTCCTAACTGTCAGGAAGTGCTTCCTGGCATCTAAATGGAAGCTTGGTTCCCTGAGTGGGTCCTGCCTTCCTCTGCAGGGGAGAACAGGTCTCTACCCACCTCCGTGTGACACCCCCTCACATACCTGTATGTCGCCAACAGATCCCCTCTGAGTCTCCTCCTCTTCAAGCTGAAAAGACCCAGTTCCCTCAGTCTCGCCTCATATGACTTTCCCTACAATCCAGCCACCATCCTTGTGGCCCTACACTGTCTCTAACCTGGCTATATCCTTCTTGTAATTTGGAGCACAGAACTGAACACAATATTCCAGTTATGGGCACGTCAGAGTCGTATAGAGTGGTAGTAATACTGCCCTCGATCTAGAAACCATGCTTCTGGCTATGCAACCAAGGGTGGCATTTGCCATCTTGACTGCCTGATGATTCCCCAGTAATGATTACCCTCTGCTTTTGGTCAGTCAGCTATGTCCTAATCCAATGGACAGTGCATTGATCTATCCCAAAACTCCACAATTTCTCAACCAGGATATCATGCCGCACTTTGTCAAAGGCCTTGTTGAAATCCAGGTAAACTCCATCCCCCACATCCTCTCCATCTAGCTACCTTGAAATCTTGTCATAGAATTCCACAAAGTTTGTCTCGCAGGACTTTTTTTTTTTTTTTTTTTTTTTTTTTGCAGAAGTTGTGCTGTGTGGCCACCAACATCCATTCCCTATGTAGGGTTAAAAGACCACTCACTATTACGAACCTTTCCATTGTCTTTCCTACAATGGACATAAGGCTAACTGGTCTCTAATACCCCATGTCCCCTCACGTACCCTTTTTTGAAAATTGGGACCACTGGCACCTCCCTCCAGTCCTCTGGAAACTTACCCGTTCTCCACGAGACCTCAAAAATGGAGGCCAGTTGGTGTGAGAGGATCCCTGTCAACTGCCAAATTACTCTTGGGTGAAACCCATCAGGGCCCATCGCCTTTGTAACATCCAGTGCCCTGAGGAGCTCCTCGACTTCTACGGTGGTGACTCTAATCTGTGTGCCTGAGTCCCCAGCCTCATCTGATCCCCCATGCGGATCTCCCCCATCCTGCTTTGGGGGGAACACAGAAGCAAAACAGTCATTTAGAATCTGTGCCTGTTCACATCAGTCACTGAATCCCCTTTCTCCCTATTAAGTGGTCCCACTGCCTGTCTCCCCTTCCTCTTGCCATTTACATGCTGGTAGAACACCTTTTTGTTGCTCCTGACATTCTTGGCAAGTCTCAGCTCATAATCAGCCTTAGCCTTGTGAAGAATCCTTCTGCAACGGGTCTCCCCCTCCCGGTATACACTTTTGTCTGTTCGTCCCAGTGCCTTTTTCCCCATCCTCGTGAGGTGCAACCCATCCCTCACCAGAAGTGCATTGGCAAGAAACCAGATACCATGGTCGAGGAACCCAAATCATTCCTTCCGACACCACACCCTGAGGCAGTCATTCACCTCGGCAACCCTTATTTTCCTGGCTGGTCCAAATCCCCAGACTGGCAAGATAGAGGAAAAGGCCACTTGGGTCCCTGAGTTTCTTGCCCAGAGATTCAAAGTTCCTGGTGATCCCACCCACCCCCTACCTGGCTCTGTAATTTGTCCCCACATGGATCACCAGAAATGGCTGGTGACCCCCGGATGGAACAAGATGCTCTATGCTGTCCTTCACATGCAGGATGCGTGAGCCCGGCAGGCAACAGACCTCCCTCACCAATTTATGCCATTTATATGCTGCATCCTAGTACATTTAAATGGTGTTCCTGGGCAGTTTACATAGTTAAAAAATATACGCATAGATAAAAATAACAATGTCACAGTAGAAACAGTAACAATATCCTATTAACTGTGGAAGGGGTTTTCTGATGTTGGGTTCCTATTCACTGCCATGAAGCAGTAGTATTGTGCTAAAATATAGATGTGTTTTGAGAGGGTTGTCAGGAAGAAGACGCAGAGCACCCGCACCCAGGAGTGCTATTTTTTAATGGCAATCTCATTTCTGCCCTTCATGGTGTGTTGTTTAGAATTCTGATGTTACACAACAAGGGGTTGATATAATAGCACTCAATGAAACCGAGATTTAAACACTCATCTGCCCTGGACATTCCTGGTCAAGCTCTTGAAGAAGAAGGGGGGAAAGGCAAAAGGAATAAACAGAATCCAACAGTGTCTGAGCTCCACCATGGCTTATGAATTTTTATCTTTCTATCACATACATACTTCAAAACCAGGACTCCCAGAAGAACAACAGACACTTTTACAGTGCTTGTACTCCATCCAGGTTCAGTTCCACCAGGTGTCATCAGGGCAGAGAGCAAACACCAGCCCAATCTTTTTCTGCTAATTAAGGAGGAAACCACCCCTGGAGAGGCACAGGTTTTCCAATACAAACTGAATAACAACAGAAAAGTGACACCAGAGCTGCTGTCAAAAGGAAAGGAAAAATAATACAAGATGTGTATTAACTTCTGCCATTGCACTTCCGCCGATCCTTCCCACCCCAATTACTTTTTCCTAAAGCACCAGGATCAATCCTGCTAGATTCACACCAGTACTTCACAGGCCAATGCTGCGTGATATATACAATATATGTTTAAATCAAAGTTAAATCTACCAATATGGTTTTGTGCATGAACTGCTGGCAGGAAGTTATTACAGGAAAATACTGT